AAACTCTTGCAATTTTAATTAGTGAATATGTATTTTTTTCTTTCTTTCTTTCCATCTAATGGAGCTCCTGGGGTGACTGATTTTGCTGAGGCACTGCCGCCTACTCTCCGTCAGGTGCAGACCCACTTTCAGAGCTGCCCAGAGAGTGTGGCAGGAGCAGGAAGGTGACCTGTGACGTCAAGCCATTGAAGCCTGGGGAACAGGTCTTATTGTCGCTCAATCAAAGATTCAGAGCTCATTTTGGTTCCAGGCTTCATTTATTGTAGGACACATTGATATTTTTGAAGGTTCAATGAAATATTGACTGAAACATTTACTAGTCTCAACTAGTCTTTGAGTAGTTTGGTGCCTATTAATACCTGACCTAAATCATCTTGTTATAGAGTCCGTCCAAATATGTCTTCCATTCCTGGCATCCGAAAGCGTTTTGACCTGGTATTTCTCCATCTGTTTACATGTTACTGCCTGTACTTAGCTTCTCTATGTGATGTGTCTTGACTGATTAAATAGCATCTACCTTGCCTAAAACTGGACAAGCGGATTTAGAGGGGTTTTTTATATTTGGACAACTACCTACTACTTACAGTATTTTGTGACCACTTGGTTGTGTGCCAGTGGGTTCTTGACACTTAAATCACCTAATGCTTAGCTACTTAATGTCGTCTATCTTGAGTTGTAAATTTGTAAACAGAAATTTGTTTTTAAAGATTTGATTTAGCCTTTCCCCTTGATTTAATTGGGATGTGATGGGATCAAGATGGGAGAAAGGACCAGTAGCCAAGAATTTTAACTTGGGTCACCTAGGGCACAACCTGTGTTGGAGTTGGCAGTACCCACAATATGGCAGAAGTCCCGCCCTCTAAATAAGAGCCAATCAGCAGTTGTTAAAGCCATTGCATCACTGCAGCTACTGATAGACACTTGTGCTTAAGACTGCTGGACCTACGTGCCTTGTTTTACTGCTATTTGAGTGTAAATAACTTTTATGAAACGTGTTGTTTTGACGTATGTTTTTAAATGTGAGTTTAGCAAGCAGTTTTTGAATTTTGGCATTTCCTCAATCAAATAGATAGGAAACTTGCATGCCTGAAATAGCTGCCTGGAGGCGTTGAAAATAGTGAACAAATTTTCCTTGAAAGAGACTTTTGTGTGAAATTCATAGTATTCAAAAACAGTAGGCGAAAAGTACCTGGATTACCGACTACTACTGCCAAGATTCTGAAGTTTGCATCCGTTGGTCACTTTACTATCCTATGAGGCCACTGTAGAGGATTTGTGAATAGCAGTAATGCAACACAACTACGCTATACGTCACTTGACAATGACAGCAATGACCAATGTAGTACATCCGGATTACATTCATACCATTACACACTTTTTGAACAGTTGCAAAGTATTCAAAAACTTTTTTTGATTTTTGAGCGCAGCCAGTTGAGGAATGCATGGCCAAAGCTGCCACAGCCATTTTTAAATGCATGATCCTTAAATGTCAATTAGTAATGGCTTTTATGGTCATGGCCACATTAGCTAGATGCTAATGCTACAAGCAAACTTGTACTCTGCATGTTAAGGGGATAAATGGAATTTTATGTCTTGTTAATGTGCCAGGACAGGGATTGAGATTGAGGGTCAAACATTGACCAATAGTGATGTTAACTCTGAAATACTGGCTTGATTTGGACAGTTTTCTAGTAGGAATGGTCATAAGGTTCCTGTGAGGTGTTACAGGCTGCTGTATTGGATATAGTCATTCGTTGTGAATTTTAGAGGAAGAAAGCAGGGTTCGGTGGTGTTGTGCTGTCAGCTTCAGGACTTTGTTAACCCCTAAGGCCCTGGCAGACTCTGGCTGCTCTAATTGGAGGAAGCCCTGAAGGGGAAGTGGATGGTGCTCGGGGTGTTATGACAGATGCCCACTCGAGTGAGCCTCACTGAAGGATTACAGCATGATGAGGCGGCAAAGTGTTTATTTTGGTTGCACTAGGACCGGAGCTTCGAGACTATTTGCCCTGACTGCATATGTGCCATCTCCGAAACACTAGACATCCTAGCTCTTCCTTAAAACGCACTGTCTAAACTTCCTGGCAATATAACAAGCCCAACTCACACACTGGCACTTCAAAGCAAAATATGTTCATTAACTCCTAGCATATGCTTCCTGTCCATCTCTTTTACTTTCTCGCATCCTCTTTAATAGCCTCAAAGCCCTGAACAAAATGTCAAAGCTCTTGCTCACCCCCGAATGAGTGTCTGCTTCCCTCCCACAAGAATAATCACACTCTGTTTAACACAACATGGAACGATGGGTGGTGTGAATGAGGGATGATGCTGTGGACACTGGACAGTTTTGCATAAGGGAAAATGGAAGCGTCCTTGATATGTTTGTGTACAGATGCACAGCCCCTCCTAAAAAGATTGGGCACCATCATAGGCTATGTTTAGATGTTGTTGTTTTTTTGCTGGAGTTCCTTGGTCAGCCGGCTAAACTAGAAGGTACTTATCAGCCTAAACCAGCATGGAAATTCATGTCTTTTCAACAGGGGGGCTGAATGAAGCTAGACAGTGCTACATACTTAAAGTATAGGTAGCTTACAGCATATCAAATTAGCTAAACAAGCTAAAGCCCGGGACACACCAAGTCGACGTCAAAGAACTTGCAGCGACAAAAGCTGACTGTTGTCGCCCCTCATTTGATGCGTCTCCGCCAAAAAACACGCTTAGAACACACCAAAAGGACTAAAGGCGGCGTGCGTACTGCACCTGTGTTTAAGTAAATATCTGTCTATTTTAACACGTATCAATAGTCTATTTCGTCATTCGGCAAACTGGGACTGCAGATATACAAACCTTCAACAAAACGCTTGCTAACCATTACCATTTTGAACTTTCTTCGTTCCAGTTGGCTCATATTATTGTGAAAAAAATTCATGCATTCGAATACTCTGGTACGATGACGTACAATTAGAACAGCGGAACCCCCCGAAAAAAACTAAGCCGAAAACCCAGATTACTGACTACTACTGCCAAGATTCTGAAGTTTGCATCCATTGGACACTTTGCTATCCCATGAGGCCACTGTAGAGGATTTGTGAATGGCAGTGAAGCGACACAACTAACGCGATGTCACAAGACAATGACAGCACATTCTTAAGTCTGTGCTGATTTAAATAGTTGATCTATATACAATGATACTTCTGAAAAATATTGAAGACTTATCTGTTCCATTTTCCTGTGCTCGGTCGAAGGGTGTGTTCACACATGGCAGGTTTGTGGCAACAGTGCAGTTTTTTTTTTAAGCGGAACCTTGATTTTTCAGGGGGTCTCGGTCCTCTTCCATGCAAACTCTGCTTTGGTTTGACTGAAATATAAAAACACATGGACCAAAGATGTGATCCTTAAAAGGACAGAATGCTCAAACATACCTAGTTTTTCTCATCATAGAAGCTATGTGCCCATTACAGTTCGGTACTGGCTTCGAAAATGCCATCTCCTTGCAGGAGATCTTCATTTGTGTGTAATGGAGGAATTCCTGGTGCTGCTTTGACTCATATATACACATTTTATATTCTCTTCAAGTTCTCAACTGGTAAAAACACCATTATATGTACGCACATACTATGGCTTTTAGCGCAGCAGCACGCAAGTTCTGTCTCAAAAAAGAAGTCATAAAAGATGTGTTTTGTTTTGTATCTTTTGGTTTGATGTAAAAAATGACAGTATGAAGCGAACCAGGATGAAATGTATCATTTTGCTTTTTTGTTTTATTTTAAATATATTTAGACAAAATAGTAGGTTACGCTTTATTTTAACTGTCCATTTTAGACATTCTACTAACTACAATCCAACTAGCTCTTATTAATTTGCGATTACATGCCAAGTTAACTCTCATTAGATTAATAGTAGACTGGTTAGGCTTGGCTAGTAGAGTAAGTTGTACTAGTAGAATGTCTGTTGGCGGACCATCAAAATAAAGTTAGCAGATATTAAGCAGTCAGTCTACTAATTATTCTAACTATAAGTAACTTTGCAACTACATGTCATCTAACTCTCATTATTTGATTAGATCAATATTGGCTTTTTTTGCTATAAGGTGACATCGGTTTATCAGCTTTGTAATGTTGATGCATCCTTTGTGATAACACTTAGCGTGTTGCAATTCTTTTATTTGAATGCCACTATAATGCCCCTTTTTTCAATATATAAAATAAGTATCTGTTGTTGTCCCCAGAGTGTTTATGTGAAGGTTTAGCTCAAAATACCCCACAGATCATTTTTTACAGCATGTTAAAATTATCGCTTTTTGAGGGTCAGTAAAAACGCTTCGTTCAATGTGTGCCCCTTTAAATGCAAATGAGCTGCTGCTCCTGGCACAGAGAGCGGAGCTTCAAGAGCTTGTGTGTGTTAGCAGCTCTGATTATGCAGACAAGCACTAAAATGTCAGACACTCTTCTGTCTTTTATGTTTAAATTTACTGGACACCTACATTTTGTCCCTTCTTGAGTCTCTCCGACATTGTCCAATGCAACAGGACGTTTCTGAATTGTTAGTTGATGAATTTATGTTGCTATCTTTAATTAGCATATTCTGCCATGATAATCTATAAAATCGCTCGTGTGGGAACTGTTGTCAGATGACTAAAGAGTGACATGATATTGCATTTGTGTAGATTCTATAGGTTGAGCAGACACACAAATGCGCTCTACTACAACAACTCTTCCTCTTCTCAACATGGACTGCTCGCGACATGTTTCTGGGGACAGGGTTTAAGTAAATTTTAGGGTTTTTGATGTCACTAACTTGGGAGGAATGTCGTGTAGTCCCTACCAGCCGTTTGTTGTAGTCCATCAACTTCTTTAAAAGCAAATATCTTCCTTTGCTTGAACTTTGAGCTTTGTTATATTGCAGATGTTTATGCTCAAACAGCAACATTACACACTGACTAAAGTTAGAAACGTGAAATCATTATCAACCACCCCTTTAACACATCTTTCCATCTCTTGCAGGGCATCATGGAACAGTACAATCCCTGTTTGCGGAATTTCATCGCCATGGGGAAGAACTACGAGAAGGCTCTCTCCAGTAAGTAACGCCCACATCACATATCCAAACCTCCCCCGTTTCATCCAAGTTCAGGCAGCTGTCCAAACCCTCCATGCCTTCCCATCCGCCTTTTAATGCCACTTCATTTGAAGATGATGACAATGTTTGTCATCCTGTCATTCAGATGGCTATACAGCCTTATCAACTCTCACACAGCCCGAGACACCTCCTGAGCTCATATGGGCCAAACACAAACGCTCCGCTGATGAGGGCATTCAGAGAGTAGATAATGTGTCCTGCCTCACTGATGATTTGATATTTAGCCATTAGACAGAGGAACAATCAGATGACTTTGAAGGCTTTGTGCAGTTGGTGACTGATGAAGGCCAGACAATTGCCCATTGATGTCTGCATTCACATTGGCAAATGTAATCTTGCTCCGGCAGCCTCGGGTGTACAGTGGCTGTAAAACAGTTATGGTGATATGCAGGAATACGTCATAAAGGAAAATCCCAGATTTAGCGGATGCTCGATTGACAGCACCGGCTTTGGTGAAAAAATATATTTTCCTTACAAAGGTAGAAATTGGGGTTACATTGAGGCAATTACAAGTGTAAGTGAATGCAGAACTTTATTTCACCAAATGCAATCGTTCAACATCTTAGTTGATCCTGGAACAACATTTCAATCAACCAATCAGATTTCAGGGCCTAGTCTACAGTTGAAGTCAAGTTTAGGCTTACAACCAGGGTTAGGTGCTTCTATTATTCACCATCATTTCCCTCTGATTTTAGGGAGAAGTCATGGATAGGGTTAGGTTTCAGGCTAAGGGATATGGTTTGGACAAAAATTTTGGACCGGAATGTTGTTCCAGGATCATTAAAATATGTTGCCCCAGTAACGCACCCTAACTTGGTCAGGACGTGTGAAAAGGAATATTAAAAGACCTATAGACCTTTCTCACAACTTCAGTATTTGTGACCGGAAATACGCAATTGTCGTGGTAAACTTCTTCCGCTCCATTCATAACAGATAGCGCCGAAGGCAACTAGTGAGAGTTGTTGCGTACCGATCTTTTTTGTTATTCCCAAAAGCAGCCATACCTATCGTTTTCATTCCTTCCCTCGTCAGTTCCCTGTCGATGAAGTTCGACGGAAATGGATTCAGGCAATCTGGCGGGATGTTATTGATCCTGTGATCTTCTGTACTTCTCATGTCACCATTCACTAATAAGCCGTCATTGTTTGTTTATTTTTTATGTTTTATGATTTGCGTATTTTTGAAGTAACGTTAGTTCATGTTCAACTGTATTAAGATATTTGTATCCAGCGGAATAAGCACATAAAATATACACCACAATATAAAACAAGATAAATAAGAACACACAACAGTGGGCTACATATAAATTTAAAATATTAATATATACCATTCTGAGTATTTAACAATCTGAGTGTACAAGGAATAAATTAATATTTGTATAATTTTTCTTCATCTTTGATCGTTCTAGCAACAGCAGTGCAAAAAATTCGGGATAACTGTTGAATAAAACTGACAGAGTTCTTTCTGGTATTCACATCAAAATGTAGTTTATTGTAAATAATACTCCCTAAATATGAATAACTTTCCACACACTCCACCTTCTTACCTTTAACGTATATTGGGAAGAATGAGCTTCAGTTCTAAAATCAATATCATATCTTTGGTCTTAGATAAATAAGCTGCAGACAAGCATCACCACAGCATTTTACAAAGTCATCAACAACTGGACCATGACAAGTTTACATTTTTTCGAAGTTTTGAAGACTCTCTGATCAATTTTCTCCTCCCAGAGTAGGTTTTTCTGATGTGTTTACAGTTGACGGGAACTCCGTTTCCACAACGATTACGTATTTCCGGTTTTTGTGAAAAAGGTCTATAAACTTTAAAATTCTCCCTGGTCTATAGTATAGCCACAAGATTTAAAGGGATACTCCACTACTTTTGGAAATAGGCTCATTTTACTACTCCCCTAAAGTTAAACAGTTGAGTTTCACCGTTTTCAAATGCATTCAGCCGATTTTCTGATATTTAGAAGAATATCAGTAACCAGACAGTTTCTGGTCTCATTGACTTCCATAGTATATATTTTTTCTTACTATGGAAGTCGATGAGACCAGAAACTGTCTGGTTACTGATATTCTTCTAAATATCAGAAAATCGGCTGAATGGATTCGAAAACAGTAAAACTCAACTGTTTGACTCTGGGGGAGTGATAAAATGAGGCTATTTCCAAAAAAAGTGGAGTATCCCTTTAAATAATGTGAGTGTTAACATGGTTGTGAACAATTAATTTAAAATGACCTTTTCTGTTTAAAGTTCTGTGTCGCCATAACAACGCAATATCACATACCCTAAAATGACTGTAAAATGATTTAAAGAGTTTTACAGCTCAAATAATACACACATTTTTACAAAATAATGAATGTCATTGCTTTTATAAAATAATCAGCTTAATTTTTCTGCTTTTAAATCTTTCAAAAATGTCACTCCCATTGTTAGTGCACTGTAACCTGCTTTTTTAAAAAAAAAAAAAATTCAAAATGATGCTGTAAACTGTAAAAAATCCACTAACTTGAGAAACTTTTTAAAATACATTTAGTTTAGGTCGGTGCAACAAGTAAACCAAGTTCATTTTAAACTTTTTTTTTTTTTTTTTTTGCTTAGCCAACTTAATAAATTTAAGTTCCTGTGTCATACTAGACAGCATTATAACATGCATGCACCATTGCTGGTTAGCATGAGTGAATTGGCATTTAAAGAGTCGCAAAGGAAACCTGGGTAACCCATAAATCCCAGCAGGCAACCTACTGGGGGGATTTATATAAAATCTGTGAGACAGACTGCCCTTCAAACTCTTGAGCATTAAAGGCAGATTGGCTGAGGTGGGTGAAAGAGTCTTATCCTCAGAAAGGGGGTGACGGCACACAAGGGTCCATATGCTTCAGATGTCTATCAACAGGTAACAATAAGTTCTAGAGCTAATAATGCAGCAGTTGGGTAGAGAAGAGCATGGGTTTTTGGCATAAATACATGGATGAAAGGACATAAAGGGAAGAGACCGAGTTGAAAAAGAGATTTTATTCCATAATTGACTACCCCGTAGTGAGGGAAACTGGGCTCTGGTGGGAGGTCCTAGGCTACGCTAAGCCGACCAGAGTAAATCGTAATCCTCTTTTGCTCTCGAGCCATGTCTTTGCCACTCTACCCCGTGTTTTAGGAAATGAAATCACTCAGACACAAAGTCAGCAAAGCTCTCTACCCCCATTTATTATTTCTGACTGGTATTGTTCTTGCTGATTTGTTTTAGAGCCTCAGGCACAGAAAGAAGAATGAGTGCGGTGGGGAGTGTGTTATGACAAAGTTCTTTCACAGTAAAAGAGAGAATATCAAAGCGTAAGACTTGCATGTATGGATGGGAATTGTAAGGATTCTGATTTCACTTAATGACCCATTAGCAAGTTTTTAGGAAGCATGTGCAAACTATCCTTTCATCCTCCAAACAACTTGTCCCTATGTAGGATGCCAGAGCGTATCCCAGTGACTATGGCCGTATGGTTAGGGGAACTCTATGGAGGAAAGGGGAAACTTCATGCTATGAGATGAGATTTTTGTGAAATTTTTAATCCAAGTAGATTATTTTTATTTAAAATACCATTTTTATGAAGCAATGAGCCATAAGAGTCATCCGACGGGGAATAATTGGATAAACATCAGTTATTTTCTTTCAGCTTAATGGAATTCATTCAGAATTTATTTGTTTGTGAATTAGACTAGACTAGTCGCGCTGTATGTTTGTGTTGCTTGCATTTATTTAGGACAAAGAAATAATACGATTGTGCATAATGTGCAATTGTCTTTGTATTAATTATTATTATATATATCATTTCTGTATTTCTTTGTTTGGTCTGCAAACAACCTGGAACATAATTGGCTATGGCGCTGTTAATTCAACAGAGGCACATGAAATTTGAGTAAATACTGTTCTACGTTGACGTTCAGGAAACAATAATGGAACTTAACTTAATTAAAATGACACAGCTGTGGTTTGTTTTTTGTTTGTTTGCTGTTTTTTTTCTTCATAAATGGACCATTTCCTATATGGAGTTTTGGTAACACTTTTTAGTTTAACACCATTTGCTTATTAGCATAAATATTACTAGGATATTGGCTGTTTATTAGTACTTTTAAAGCACATATTATATTAATGCCATATTCTACATGCCTAAATCCTACCCAATACTTAAACTTAACAACTGCCTTACTATTAATAAGCAGTAATTAGGAGTTTGAGGCAAAAGTTAGTTAATATTCAGTTGTAGGGTGACCAACTGGCCTGTTTTCATATAACAATATAACAATTTTCTATCCATACTGAGGAGGCATAACCTACTTTAAAGGTGCCATCTGGGATAAAAAAATCAAATCATACACCATATTCCATACCAAATGGAGGCAGTATACCTCCAGAAAAATACCTCCGCGGCCGCGCGCACTCATGTCTTCAAACAACACGGGCGAGCGGGTCTCTCTCGCGCATATTAATCAGTAAAACTAATAGTAAAAGGTTGGAAGACCGCAGATTCACGTGGATCATTTGGAGATTTTCAGAGATTAGAGACTAAATGAACAACATCTCAATACTAAATTATAAAGGCCGTCTCATAGACAAGCCGGTGCATTTCGACGATATGGGGAAATTAAAGCCCAGGCATTTTTAGTTTATGGTATTCGTTTTTTTCATGTTACATTTTTATCATTAGTTTGAATTAATTTGACAGACAGCATTCCCTGATGTGGACCAAGCTAGCGCCTTTCAGAGCTGCCAACTCTCACAAATTCACCTCACAACTCACACAACTTTTAACACACTCTCACGCCACATCCATTTTGTCATGCACAGAAAAGGACACAGAGACCGATCTCAGCTCTCAGATTCTGTTCATTTTATTACGCAATTCAAACAATAAATGCAGTTTTGGCGCTTGTAAATGTTAGACGACAGATCCATAGCGCACGTGAACCGATCATCTCTACTAGCTAATGGTAAAAGAACACGAACACTGTTGAAAGATATGTTACAACTTACCAAAATGTATTCCTCATGCATCGACCAATCATTTATTTAACTCATCCCTGAACTGAAATTTAGTAGCGGGCTGTATTTCCACACGACATCAGGTTCAAGTACACACAAGCTGCAGTTTGGCTGGTGCTAACGTTGCCCGCCCGCATACCGCCTCCCATGGCCGAAACTGGTATTACGACACCTGCCGGGCCGGGGCTAATAATTTAGCATGCTAATTTAGGTTATATCTCGGCAGCACTATAACTTGCCAGTTTTTTAATGACATCATTGCACTTATTTCTTCTCATTCTTTTGATGTGTGTAGCTCATTTTTTTGGATATTTTTACCTCAAATATTCCATATGGCACCTTTAAATGTATTAAAAATTAATAAGGTATCTTTGAGTAAACTTCGAGTATCATTTGAGTTGGCCCATGTGTTTTCTGGGCCGAGTGTCCTGGTTTTGGTAGTCAAAATATGGTCACCCTAGTCAGTTCTGTGAGAATTGGACACTGATCTAAAGTGCGAAAATCAGCAGTACCAAACTTAACCAGGTAATCTGTTTCGGTTTAATATTTAAAGGGATAGTTCACCCAAAAATGAACTCATCCTCACGTCATTCCAAACTTGTTTCACTTTCTCCTGTGAAACTAAATGATATTTTGAAGAATGTTGGTAACCAAACACGTATGATTCCCATTGACCTCCATTGGACAAAATATTCAATGGAAGTCAATGGGAACTGAAACGGTTTAGTCAGAAACATTCTTCAAAATGTTCTTCAGAAGCAAGAATTGAACACTGGTTTGGAATGACATATGGGTGAGTAAATGACAGAATTTTTATGTTTGGCTGAACCATCCCGTTTAAGTTGCTCATACTAAATGACCTAAGAGTTAACTTTATTAAACATTGTTTGTACTGTTCAGTTTTTCTGCATTCGACAGTTGAATTTCCCTGTATATCAGCAAAAATATCCAACCTAGAAGACTATAGACCATTTTGCAAGATGTAAACAACACTGGTCCAGAAGCACTTCCTGTTTCAGTTTTTTTAACACTACATAAAAGCTGGGATAAAATACAACCAACAGAACATGTAAAACTGAATCAAAAAGTTAAACAACATCTTGAAGATGGTTTCTTTACATGTGAAATAAAGAAAACAGCTACAAACTGAAACGGGAAGTGTTTCTGTACCAGTGTTTACATCAGGCAAAATGGTCTATAAGAAGAAGAAAAAAAAGCACAGAGACAGTGAAGAAAATGAAATGGTACAGTGGGAGTGCCCAGAGTTGATGTTCCCATCTGTCAGGCACATTTTTGCATAATTTCCCTGTAAATAAGTCTTGAACAGTAGCCACATACTGTAGTCACGGACCTATTGCAACAGTCTGCATTGCCTTTCTTAATCAGGGCCACAGCTGGTCAGCCTGATGAACTGTTTGCTCAACCGATTTTTGTGCCAGAATCTCAGGGTGGTTTTCCACAGGCTCTCAGTGTAATCAATGGGTCCCAATTGATTTCTGAACGAATTCCTTAAAGAATAGCTGACTGGTATCCAGTTTCTCCCTGTCAATTTTTTACTCCCTCTCTGATGTTGATGTATGAGATGTTGAGGCATTATTACTGAAAGGGATGATGTATGAGATGTTGAACTGCTCTTGGAAGGTTTTTTGGGGGGGGAGCTGCTTCTTGGCTGCCAGATATTGCTGTGCAGTTATAGTTAGTGGCAGTGGCTTTGTAACTCCTCGGTCCTGTGGTCATAGCCCAAGAGTGACAGTCATGAAGCGAGTCTGAGCTGCTGATTCCATGCAACACCTATGAGGCAGGAGATGAGCTCTGTGTGAGTGGGCCAAACCTCTACCTCTTCGCTGCTCTACACAATAATGGGTCCCGCCAAACCCACGGAAAACACCAGCATATGCTGTTTGGCTCTCTCAAATCTCACACTCTTTCACTCAGTACCTACTTCCTCAATGGAGAATGTCACGTATATATAGAATAGGGGGCGATTTTGACACACTTTCTATACCGGACACATTTCTTCATTATGATTGTCATTGCTGTCTACATTGTGAGCACCTTTTTCATTTACCACCTACATTAAGCAGATTTCCCATTTCTATTTTTGATGTTCTGTACTGGTATGCCATTTTGTTTTAATGTCCAACAAACATAGTGAGTGACCCCACAATTTGGTGCTTTGAACGAAATTGATACTTTTATTCGGCAAAGATGTATTGAATTAATCAAAATTGACATGATAGAAAATATTTCTATTTCAAATAACGGCTGCTGTTCAAATATTTGTTGATCAATGAGTCCTGAACTTCTACACTGTTTTAGGGATACTCCACTTTTTTTGGAAATAGGCTCAATTTACAACTCCCCCAGAGTTAAAAAGTTGAGTTTTACCGTTTTTGTATCAATTCAGCCGATTTTCTGATATTTAGAATAATATCAGTAACCAGACCTGTTTCTGGTCTCATTGACTTCTATAGTAGGGAAAAATATATACTATGGTAGTCAATGAGCCCAGAAACTGTCTGGTTACTGATATTCTTCTAAATATCAGGAAATCGGCTGAATGGATTCGAAAACGGTAAAACTCAACTGTTTAACTCTGGGGGAGTTGTAAAATGAGCCTTTTTCCCCAAAAAAAGTGTAGTATCCCTTTAAGAAGCTCAACTGTTTTCAACATTGATAATCAGAAATGTTTCTTGAGCACCAAATCATCATATTAGAACGATTTCTGAAGGATCACTGAAGACTGGAGTAATGTTGCTGCAAATTCTGTTCTTGTCGTCACAGGAATACATTTATATTTTAAAATGTATTACAATAGAAAATAGTTATTTTAAATTGTACTAATATTTCACTGATTCTTGCTTGAAGCCAAAGTGTTTTATGAAATCTCTGAAAAGATCACAGTAACATTCAGGTTTTACAAGTGAATAGCCTAGCTACAGTGTGTAGTCCCACCAGTTAGACCAACACCAAACCAGTATAAGCCGAGCCTGGGCTAGACCACCATGAAACTGCTTCTTAGACTAAGCTGTAAAATCACACTCTTACTCTCAATCAAACGGCCATATTATCCCGCTCTCTCTCTTTCGCACGTGGGGATCCAGAGAGAATTGTGGAGATAATGATATTCTGTTTATTCTCTTTTCATCGAAGTTGACATTTTAAAACCGTAATGAGGCATGGGGTTGGGATACTGTGTGTGTGTGTGTGTGTGTGTGAGACAGCTGGGCTGGTCCGGTAAAAGAAAAAAGGGGGTAAATTTCCATAGTCACAGGAGAGCTATCTTTACTCATTTAAATGTGTTTCCTGTACAACTGATTGTGTTTCCTGTTGTGTGACAGAGTCATCCACTCCTATAGCTTTTTTTTTTCCGCTCATTACCCAGCTGGACTGACACCAACTTGCGCAGCTGATAGCCGTCCCGTTGTCGTCATGGTCTCTTTGATCTCTGAATATACTGTTGTAATGAGAAATGAGGATGTTTGACACGTTTTTCTTCATTTTGCAGGTGTGACATTTGCAGCGAAGGGCTATTTTGATGCTCTGGTGAGAATGGGAGAGCTGGCCAGTGAAAGTCAAGGATCTAAAGACCTGGGTGAGTCTCGGCGTCTTTTTTTTGCCTCAAGAGAACAGGCAAACTGTGCGGCCTGATCCGACATGACACCACGAAACACGCACTAATGGAACCGCACGCTTAGCAAAGTGCCGATGTAGCTTTCATTAGTCCCAACTGTCAGAATTTGTACCTACGAGAAGCTTTTGTAGTCAGTCAAAGGGCTGACATCATTGGATGGGAATTCATCTGCCGTGCTGCAGGGAAACTCGGCGATGCATCATTTATGATCAGTTTAAAAAGCGGATCTAGTTCCAGGGCTAGGCCTATAACTTCTTGAAATAGCATTTCACTTTCTGCTACAGGGAGGCTGTCAGAATTGTTGGTCGGTTCTTTGTTCTGCCAGGGATGTGAGAGTAGGTGTATATGTGATCCTCAAGATGCTTGTTGCGGATGGGGATCAGCTAGAGGTATAGCAGCATAATCTCGTTTGTATTCGTGATACCATCGCCACTGTCTATTGAACTTTCTAGTTGCATGGACTAAACCATTTTCTACCTCACTATCCGGAGCCCTGGGTGAATTTAGGCTGTAGTTGATTTTTTTTATTATTATTATCTTTCTCTTTCGTCTTTCTGCATGTTACAAAGTTAAACCAGTCATAGTTCTGCATGTCATTGAATCATTCGGGCAATCCATTCGTTCAAATCACTGACAATTCAAATGCCGTTTGACCTCTCTTACTGATTGAGGAGGTACAATTGATGAGGAACAAGTGTGAAAATGTTCGTTCTGTAACACTGATGGCCCACTTTAGACATTCTACTTACCAAAGTAACTTTGCAACTACATGTCGGCTAAGTCTTATTAGAGTATTAGTAGACTGTCTGCTTAACTGCTAACACTTTATTTTGATGGTAGAGTTCTGTTTTCATGTAACCTACCACTGTCAGTTGCGTCCCTACGTGGCCATTCACAAATCCTCTCCCGCTGCATCATGGGATAGAAAAGTGTCCATCATATGTGCGTTTTGGTCATCTGGGTACTTTTCACCTACTGTTTTATGAATACTGTCATCTGGAAATAATACTCTCGCATACTGGTTTTCTCCTATATAGTAGGAAAGTATGCTTGTTCGGATGCAGCCAAAGTCTTTATTAATCCGATTCATTCAGACACACGGATTCATTCATGAACTAAACAAGTGGCTGTCTTTATTAGTGAGTCATTGAATCATGCAATCAGTCGATTTAGTTCAAACCCATTGATTCATTCAGGAAAACACCACTACTGTGCTGATCGGAGATGCCGCTCGTGATTCCAATTTGACTTTTGTTTGGTACTGTTTTTGGTGGAGGTGCAAAAACAAACTCCCTTTATTGTGTATGAAATGTACTGTAAGTACTACTAATAATTTTTTGTACATAACCAGTAACATTCTCGCAATCATGCTGTTCGTCTGAATAGCAGCAGCAAAGCTGTGATTCACAGAAATGTGTGATATTTGCTTAAAGGTTCACACAAAAATAAAAATGCTGTCATCATTTACTCACCCTCATGTCATTCCAAACCATAAGACTTGTATACATTTTTTGCAAAACGAATTTAATGAAACCTGAGAGATTCCTGTCCCTCCTTTTGAAAGTCCATTCCACCAAAACTTTGCTTCAATAAGTTTAAGTACTGTAGATCCTAAAAGAAATCCATTTGAATTGAGCATGTTTAAGGGATATAAGTCTCTCATACTACAAAGAAAATATCTTCATTTGTGTGTCTAAGATGAACTAAAGTTTTCTTGGCTTATATCCATCGCATTGGGTCATGTTCCTCAGGACATGAATGCAGTATCTACGTTATTTCCACAGGGAGTTTCCTGGACTGAGGCAGAGTAAACTCCCACTTCATATATAATGCAATCAACTGTGCAGTTCATCTCTCATTTGAACTCTCAAAAGTATTGGCACTTGAATCCCTCTCTCTCTCTCACTCTCTCACTGAGAGTGAATCATACAGAGCCCCCGCCTCAGTGACAGACCCCCCTGGACATGCAACACAATGAGGGCCTCTCGAATTACTCTTCACAAACACACAACAAATCATCTGTTATTGGTGAAATACACTCCTGTCCAAAAATGCACTATGGAAACCATATATTTTCAGCAAAATACCATATTTATTGCTAGGGATGTTTTAATACAATATTTTCCCCACAATATTGAATTTATACTCTGTCATTTAGATTAAATTGTATATTTGGTTATGCTAGTGAATAATACTAAACTTTACAAAATGGTTGATCTGGTAACTATAGTTATTGCAAAGATACTATAATTAATTACTGTTGTTCATGTAAAATCATAATGCATTAACATGGTATCTCATTCAAAAAGTATTACACACTTAAAGATTATGATTTTTTTTTCTTTTCTTGATGACATTGGTATACTCTGCTCTTATTGGTTAGATGGCTCAGTCTGTTGTGATTGGCCCAGTCTGTTGTGATTGGTCTACTCTGCTCTGATTGGTCAGATGGCTCAGTCTGTTGTGATTGGTTTAGATGGCCCAGTATGTTGAGAGAAGTCTTGACGCTGTATGTTACACAACTAAAAATGTAGTTGACTGTTTTGCACCGTCATTATGCCGTTACATGGACTGTAGATAATGGGCAGGTGTGGTTTGTGAGAAGCTTTGCTATTGTTCATCTGCAGTGTCACAATGAGTCATTCTGCTTTGATTAAGTGACGAGTATGTGTGTGAGTGTGTGCATTCATTACTCAAGAACCAAAACACCTGCATTATGCATGTAGCCGCTCTCAGTCTACTAACACACCTGACTATAATTTTCAAGTGAACCCAAAGACCTTGATTAGCTGTTTCAGGTGTGTGATTAGAGCAGCAGCTGAACTCTGCAGGAAGGTGTATTTCCAGGAGCAATGTTAAGCTACGGACACACTATATGCGTCGAGCACGAAAAAGACTTTGGGCAACAAAGCCTGTATTTTCCTTCTCATTTTTAGGAAAAGCACTGAATAACCGTTGTTTATTTCTGTACCAAATATCATACACTTGCAATGAAGCTAAAATTATAAACTACAACATCATGTTGATATCCTATATTTTTACTATATAAAGCTTACGACAAATATGTCTTCTAATATCCTCAGTTGTTGAAAATACCGAGCTGCATCGGACACATTTGTAAATTACTTTGCTTGAACCCATTGCGCGAGTTTACTTTAATACTGCGTGCTTTATGTTGCTGCTGATTGGACTGCAGTTCTGACTCACCCACCAAACAAGAGAAAACGTATCTCAAACTGCCGTTTCCAGGAAACATGACGTTCAACCCGGAAACCGTAGCAAAACGTTGCGCAATTTTTTGAACTTGAACGTGCCCCTGTTGTGATTGGTCTACTCTGCTCTGATTGGTCAGATATGTTGCTCAGTCTGTTGTGATTGGTCTACTCTGCTCTTATTGGTCAGATAGGTTGTTCAGTCTGTTGTGATTGGTCTACTCTGCTTGGATTGGTCAGATAGGTTGTTCAGTCTGTTGTGATTGGTCTACTCTGCTTGGATTGGTCAGATAGGTTGCTCAGTCTGTTGTGATTGGTCTACTCTGCTTGGATTGGTCATAGGTTGCTCAGTCTGTTGTGATTGGTCTATTCTGCTCTGATTGGTCAGATATGTTGCTCAGTCTGTTGTGATTGGTCTACTCTGCTTGGATTGGTCATAGGTTGCTCAGTCTGTTGTGATTGGTCTATTCTGCTCTGATTGGTCAGATATGTTGCTCAGTCTGTTGTGATTGGTTTACTCTGCTTGGATTGGTCGGATATGTTGCTCAGTCTGTTGCGATTGGTCTATTCTGCTCTGATTTGTCTGATAGGTTGCTCAGTCTGTTGTGATTGGTCTATTCTGCTCTGATTTGGTCAGATCTGTTGCCCAGTTTGTCATGAATTGTTTACCCATTACAGCATGCATCAGAAATAAAATGGCCATTACCATATCTGAATTTAATATAACACAACAGTAGTTTTTTATTATTATTATTTATAAATCACAATTAGTAAAATAAAAAATAATAATCTACATGACTTAACCGGGTTGTCGATACTAATGAATGTCAGCATAATTTCACAATCCGCTGTACCTATTTATTATACTACAGCAAAAATGAAAATGCTATTGAAAACAAGTATAATGTAACATTAAGAAATTTAATTATAATTTTAAGTTGGTTGATTTAAAATCTTAAAAGTTATCAAGTAATCAAACTAATTTAAATATGAACACATTTAATTAAATAATGGCCTTAATGTAGCCTCCAAATATTAAAGTAAAATTTGTTCAAGTTGTCGAGTAATTATTCAAGTAAAGGCAGTATTAAATATTCAAGAAAATATAAATATAAAATTAAATATACTTAATTGGCATGTTTGTCACTATAAGATTGTTGGATATAAAACTAATAATATGCTTTTGATGGTTGTCAGCGTTTGACTGAGATGCTGGTTTTTCATTAAAGTCAACTTTAAATTAGTTTTTTCTTTAGGCTTAACTTTGTGTATATTAATTGTTTTGAGAAGAGTAGTTTTATTAACAAAAGTTATCCAGCCACAAGCACTGAGTCATTTTCTCTTTTTCTTATTAATATTTATTGTTTGTTTATTAATGACTCATTAGACAGCGGTACATATGTTGGAGCATACTCTTACTACCGATTCTGCAGGAACACTGCTATTATTCCTTTTTGTGAACTTTCTTCAATTTAGCATCAGCCTTTTTCACATCCCTACTGCAAACCATTGATGTTTATATTCTTTATATTTAGCCAAGAGCTCAATCTGTGACATTTAGTTCCTCTATTGGTCAAATGTCACAAATGTGGGTTTATCGGCTTCGGCTTCAAACGCAGATTGGGAATTATCTCTTTTTTTGGTCCACACCCAAACCTCATTTGAGTTTTCTTACCATGTCTTTCCCAGAGGGATCACTCAAGGTTATATCCTCTCCCGTGTCAACACACCTACTTGTGAGAACAGGCC